CAGTTTATAAACACTTAAAGCGATCCACTGTGTTTTTGAGTCTAGTACTTTTGAAAACAAAACTTATGAACTATTACAAGTCCATTAATTTAAATATTTAAAGATTCCTTGTCACAGAGTAAGTGATGGAATACGTTCCATGAAATTTGCCAAATCCTGCCCAATACAAACACGTGATCTAAACAAAAAAAAGTAATTTCACTTTCTTTCAGGCCACTGACAGCGTGATCCACCCGACTGGCCTTCAAACCAGTCTTCCTCTACCACACAGAGAAATATAGGATAAACTTACACTCTACAACCAGCAATCAACCTTTACAACACAGAAATATACAATAGATTTACACTATTGTAAATCAAAAATCAACCTCTAACACACACAAGCATGTTATAAACTTGCACTATAATCGAATATCAGCTTCTACCATAAAGACATAACATAGGATGAACGTGCACTATACATCCACCATCGGCCTCTACCACCAGACATTAATATAGGATAAACGTTCAATCTATATCCATCATCAGCCTCTACTGCATACACAAACACATATAATAATCTTGCACTCTGCATCCACGAATCAGCTTCTACCACATACATATTAATATAGAATAAACTTGTACTCTGCATCTACCACGCACATATTAACAAAATAAATAGGAAAATAAAAATGTTAATGGAAAGTAAGGATCGTTGTTATTCGTAGAATTGCTATAAGAAGTATCCAAAAAATAAAAATAGATGCTGCAATAAAAAGTACACAAACAAGTAAAGTGGTACTAGTTGGATAGATTTTAAACGATTTCCAATCCCTATTTTGATTGGTAAGTTTAGACTGCTTCATTTAGCTATATGGATCACAATGCCAACTAAAATAGGGATTGAAGGTCCTTCTAAAATCTATCCAACTAATATCAGTTAACTTGTTTATGTACTTTTTAGTGCATTTATTTTGTTTTGGATACTTCTTAGTGCATTTCTACAAATAACTAACAATCCCTACTTTCCATTAAAATTTGAATTTTTTCCCCTATTTATGTGTTCAGTTTTTATATGTCCATGGAATGGACACAGCATCGATAAACTTTTAGTATAGCCATATCCCTGATAACTATAACTTGTACAAGAATTAAAACTACTTTGGCCTACAGATTAGTGTTTAAAGCTGCCAAAGTAGGGATTAAATTTTATAAACTTGTGATTGTGGTTTTAATTCTTGATTCATTACTTTTTGTAGCAGGATCCTACTTCATTTTAAAATTCATAGTTTTTTAATATTCTTGTTTGTTTACTTTTTATGTTATACTTGTATAAAGTATATACTTTACCTTTAGAAACTATCTCGTGTCTATCCATCGATATGTAGAGCCATCTGTTGGGTTGAAAAGTTATTTAAATACGTGCACGATATGTTTATCGTTTATAAAAAATCTGTATATATTTATCAGAATATCAAAAGGGATACCCACAGACCAATCTAGTAAGCTGGAGAAATCTTATAACGATAGGTCGAGACATCTAGGGGCTAGCCCCGCTGACATGATCAGGTAGGTAGTAGACGAAAAAAGTTGCTGTTTTAGAAATTTTTTAATTGTTATACCGAAAATATTAGTGGTCTTTTTAGCTTATTATTTGTACATATACGATAATATATCATAACCAATACTTTGAATTGTTGGTTTTTCACTTAGGAATTCAATAAGGTGGTTTTTCGGCTGTGAATTATTTGGAAACCTTGTCTATCCCTACTGTTAAGTACTACCGCACTTAACAATAGAATAAATGTGCACTGTGCATCCACCATCAGCTTTTATCACAGACATATTAACATAGGATACACTTACACTATTCAACTACCTTTTACAGAAAATCATAGAAACATTAGGTATAAAGGCAGTAGATCCAGGATACATCAAAGGAAGGAGTCCATAATGCATCTCTATGTATGTCTGGGGTTAACCTCGCCAAAGAAATTTAGCCCCTTCTTGCATACCTGAGGTTGCATAGTCTTTGTATACATTCAATAAATGGTGTAAAGCTAGCAATGTAGTTGTAGATGAATGCAACACATACATTCAGCCAACTGGTGTTTCATTTGTACCTTTTGTGTATATAGTAAGGCTAGCAAAGTTGTTTTAACCTACGATGAGGAATTCTGAAGAAATCAAATGAGAAGGAAAGCTGCCAAGTATAATATTTTTTTACTTTGAGCTTCTATTTATAAATAAAGGTAGAGAATATATTAAAGAATTGGGTTTGTTAATTGTTGCCTCATCTTTGTTCTATTCCTGTTTTAATGTTTTGGAGCAAATGTGGGTAATATTTTGAACCTGAAAAGCATTTCATGTGACAGATTGGGTGGCCAGAGAACTTAAGGTTTAACTATAGCCACATCTAATTTAGAAATGCTGATCAGAGGGATGGCAGTCAAAAGCATATACATTCTACATGCCTACTCTTCATGGAACAATTATACACACCCACAGCCAAAAGAGTGAAGCATGTTCAGCAGCATATCAAGGGCTCAAACCTTGGACTTTTCAATCTCCAGTATAGCCCTCAAATGGGAGTGTTTAGAGATAATGTATACAATACTTCTAAATACCCATTAATGTATGTGAAGAATTACATTTTATGACAAATCACCCAAGGCATTAGAATGCTTTAAATTACTATTTTATCTTTGGATGTTATTTTCTTTAAAGGTGATTTTTGATTTCTTTTTGTGTGAACTACTTCTGAAAAAAACAAATACACTCATTTATTACACTGACACATTCTCAAAGTCTTTACTAGACTCTACGCTCAAAATCATAAATTGTGGGAAAACCCAAAAAATTTCTATCCTCACATCATCAATTAAAATGTATGTTACTGAATTAGATAAATAAATCTTTTTACAAAGCACTACAAAATAACATGAATATTTTTGTAAAAACCATTATTAGAAACTGTTTGTAATTAGTATGACAGTTGATTTATCTTTTTTTGTGTTGTTAACTTCAGAAATTTCTTGGAAAGCTTCAAAAGGGCTATGTGGTCTAGCTTCCCTAAATTTGGACTGATAGATTAGAGGATTGGAAGTTAATCAATAACATCCACCACTCTAAAGAATGGGGCAAGATTTTTTGGCCAGCAGGACATTTACCTTAGACCCAGATTCACAATCTGATCCAATAGCCACTAGACCACACACTCTCTTCTAAATGCCATTTTTCATCATGTACAGATTGAAATCTGTTTTCTGCAAGGTTCTAATGAATTTTATGTTATGACTATAATGTAGAAATGGAAATTCGTATGAAAACTGTTTTTTTTAACTATATTCAAATTGTATTGTTTGGTTACCTGGAACTAGACAAACTTTATTATTTTACTTTACCTATATTCCCCAAAATTCTACATTTGTTGTGAAAAAATAAGTGTTTACTACACCATTTTTGACTAATATAAAAAAGTAAATATTTTTTAAGGTAAATAAATCAGATTATTTTTACAGTCATATTTTACATATCCACATGAACACTGTACAACAAGCTTCAGTAGAAAAGAATATCCACAATTTTTAGCATTCTATGTTCAATATCATATTGTCCATTTTAAAATATACCTGTGTTTATGTCCACTTAAGCCAGAGAATTATATGGTAAATTTCAACCAAAAGGAATATGGTGGTAACAAGCTAGGCCTTTCAACTTATTTTTTTTATTACACCTAGCCACCATTTCCAAATTGTTGTACAGTATTTCTAAAATAATGCTATGTACAATAACATTCTAAACATGAGATAAAATCTACAGATGTAAACATATTTTGCACTTTATTTTGAAATGATCAATTCAAAATGCTCTTGATTCAATGCCATGAAAATTAATATACATCATAGATATTATTATTGCCACTACTGAATAAATTATTTTTTTATTAATAAATAGAAAAATTAAATATCATTGCTGTGCAGTATTGTTTATTCATTGATTTCACACCCTTGAATGTACTTCTAATCAGACTACTATTAAACACATACTTCTCAAGGAGACACCAGGAGATTTAAGAAAACAACTAGATAAGTAAACTGTATGAGCAAACAAAAAATTTAAAATAAATCTATACTATTAGTTATGATAAACTTCTGAATGATAAACACTCCAAGATCTAATACCTAGTGCTTAACTTGTATCATACAACACATAGTTGTAGCCTTAACTTATTAAAGTGAAACTGTGAACATCAGCTATTTTTCAAACCTGACAAATACTGAAAATGTAGAGACACTTAATAACCACCCCAGATTTGACAAAATTTTCACCAACCCAGACTTTCAAATTTCTTAGACTTATTGAAGAGTAGAATTCAGTTCTATTGTAAATGGTTTCATTTATTTATTAAACATGATTGATGACAAATAATATCACAAACCTATCCTAAAGAAAAAACTGAAAAGAGCTTAAACTGTAATTCATTCCAATACGTAGGTCAAACCAAAACAACTACACGGGAACATTTTAATAACCATAAATCAACAATAAAAACAAACAAAGAACTTTAACATGCCTGGACACTCTCTTGAAGACATTAAACTGATGGGTATAGAGACAAATTTTACATCTAACAGAAACAGGGAAATTAAAGAAGCTTTTTAGATAGCACTGTTAAATACTGTAATGCCAAATGGTATCAATCTCGATCCTGGGGTTGTTGACCTTCGCAAATCTCTGAAAAGATTTTCAAAACTAAATTCATGATTAAACTTATTTTACATTATTAGTATTATTCTTCCTTAAATTTCTCTCTCTATATTGGTTTGATTTCCTATATACTGGGCTACATTATTATTTTATCTATTTCCCACCGCCTTTTGCCGTTATTTAATATTAATTCTATTGTTTACTTTATTTTATTTTATCTTTATAGAAATTAGTTAACAATTCTTATAACTATTATCCCACATAAGTCTTTTATGAACTTTACACACCCCTTTTGCACAAAACTAAACCTGACACAAACAATTAATCGTTATGATTGGCTAGTTCTTAACATCAACTCATATTGAACATCCGGTTTACGTGACATCGACATTAGAGCCTATACATTTCTTCACACTCATTAAACATAACCTTTTATTCTCCTGAAGAAGAATAGTCAACTATTCGAAAGCACTCAAGTTTTGGGTTTCGTTTTGAAAATTTTACAACTTTTGTAAGTGATCCTGTGTGCTAACTACTTAGCCTAACCTTATATTGAATATGATGTGAAATAGAAAATATAATTAGATAAAAGATTTTCATAAATAGCTTCTGATAAATTTGAGAAATGAAGATTGGTTTATTTCAAAAAAATATCTACAAAAAAAGCAGCATATTACATAAATAAATGTCATCTCTTCCTCTTGAAATGACCTAGGGAAAAAGGAAAGAATATATTAAAGTATCTCTCAAAACTTACATTTGTTATTGAGTCAAACTGTAACATATTTTCATTGCAAAATTCAATGGATTTTTTAGTAATGTAATGAAAGAAGCTAAGGTAACGTACTTCATCCTTAGTCAAAAAATAATAATGACAAAATCTTCCCACATTTTTTCAGCAGTAATATTTAAACCAAAATAAATTTGAATAATGGTGACTAAAACTAAATAATTTTCTGAGAAAAAAAATAAACTATTATACAAATCTCAAGACAATGACACTGACAAATGTTTTGACTTGATCACATGAAAAAAGTCTTACTTTACATCTGTTACTACTATATAATACTAATAAATACCAAGTGCAAAACTTTCTTTTTACAATCAGACAATGTCAGCCAATATAACAAATAATGCAAATTTCTTGGATGTTCCCTGTGTTAATTTCAACAGTACATACAGCTGAATTATGTTTCTAAAATGTTCTAACCCCTAGAAAAAAATAAGCCATAAGGAAACAAAGTTAAGATGAATAAATTTTGAGAAAGGAGTCTTAGCCAGGTGGAAAAGTTAAAAAACAATGTCAGTTTTATATACAAATTCAAAAATAATTTTCTTGGGCCATGAAATCAATATGGAGTAAAATGAATCTTCAAAAAATGAATTACTTAAAACTGAACTGTATTGTAAATAAGAGCTGAAAGTGCTGTGGTAATTAATTTTGGCTTACAGTTCTAGAAGTTTGCTTGAAGTACATTAAAAACTATTTTTATTGTGAATTTACATTACACTCAGGCCTTCTGATTTTCAGTTTTAACCAATAAACACTAGAAATAGTTAATTCAGTTCACATTAATTTCACCCCTTTCATAGTACAGTTAGTTATGCAATATCCCTCCTTCCTAATTTGTATCTAGCATTGATTTGTTCTAAGTAGTTTAAATGGACTCCAACTACTGAAGGATAACAAATAAAGGTTAAACTAATTTGGAATAATTCTTATACATATAATAAATTAAGCAATACAAATTAGAGTAGACCCTGTGCAAAGATAAAGTTTAGGAAATAAAATCACGTACACTATATAAAAAGTGAAAGCTCTGAAAAAAGTGTATTTCAGACTATCTACATAAAACTTGTTTACAGCTAAAAATAAACATCAATAAGTCTTACAATAATACATTGGGGTTGCACCTAACTGAGCCAACATTTTCTCAGAGTCAGCTCTACTTAGCTCTATTCAGGTCATTCGGTGGATTAAAATTTATGTTTGTAAAGGTGTAAATATTGATAATGTTGTTCACAGGGAGGTTTTGTAAGCAACTTTTCTAATATGAATTCAATAGGACCTTAGTTTCTGATCATGGCTTGAATTACCACAATTCTCTATGTTTTGTTAAGTTTTGACAGGTTCTACTAGCAGAATAATATAATTAGGGAAAAGGGATGTCTGTCTAGCCATTGTGTATGAATGTAAAGATGAAGAGAAAAAGCAATATGTAAAAAAATAATTATATGTATGGGGGTAAGGCCTACTAAGAGTGACCCTTATGGCATGTTAATTTCTGTGAGCATGCTTTATTAAAATTTAACAAAAAACTGCAAAATTTTTAAATCATAATTTTCACATAATGTTGTAGCATCAAAATCATTTTTGAAAGCCAATTTTCAGAGTATTGTTTGTGTTGTTTTATGCTATTACAAAATGTTACATTTTTATATTTTAAGGAAAATGCACATGCAATAAGCATGTTCTTATTTGGGTTTTGAATAAGTTTGCCATGTACTTTTAAAATTTTCTTTACAAACTGAGAATACCATTAATAAGTACAAACATATGGATGATTAATTCAAACTTTTGAAGAAGGGATGATATAAAATCATAAAGCTGTTAAAACATGCATAAACAGGAATGACTATATTAAAACCTTTGACTTGGGGCAAATACTCATAGTATTAGCATTACCAGAAATAGTTGTTAGTTTTAAAAAGAACTTTTAGAAAGAGCACATCTTAGTGGGCAAATATTCTTCTGTATTAATATCCTTAGTAAAACATATTAAAATTCAACAAAATATACAGTTGTGTTATTTCACTCAATTCACATTCTTCTCCAACCACACAATATTTCCGTAATTATACTGTGAACTTATCGTTAATGTATTTACTAAACACAAACAATTAATTCAGGAATACAGTTTTAACTAATTATAGAGAAATGATATTTTTTTTTGTAAATAATGCAAGTACCTTGTGGAGTTACAATTCATTCTGCAGTAAAATACAACATCAGTCACAGTGAACTAAATCCAATATTTAAGGTCAAGATATAAATTTATGTGTCAGTTGTTAACTTGTAAATAAAGGAAACTACGTAAGGCCACTTTACATTATTGATGTATATTTATAAACAAGACTCTTGAAAATTAATCAACACAGATAATGAATCCATTTACCTGGTAACATGGTTTGTTTTGAACAGAAAATCGACTATCACAACATAATCTGAAGCATTTTTACTAGCACATCTTTGAATTATGATGAAGTTAATTTTGACATCCTAAACAGGAAATAGTTTGTGTGTAAATGACACAGCTGAAGGTTTCACTCAGAAATTGTTTAAAATAAACAAAGGATAAATAATCTTACTTTTTGTTTGTGTACTCCCATATCTCAAACGTTTAAGATTCTTTTTTTCCCGATATTGATTAACATCCTTGACGTGACGTTCCTGTTTATCATTTTCCTCGTCCCCAATATTTTCCATGTTAAGCCATAGGCTATCACTTTCCTGATCAACATCTTCGTCACTCATTTCATCAGTATCATTGCTGTTGTTTTTTGACTCTTCAACAATTTTGTCTTCAGTTTTCATCAATAAACAGTTTAATCTTGACTTTAAGTACATCTTTGAAAACAAAATACTTTTACAATTAATTTTTTTTTATAGTAAAACAGTATTAACAAAACTAGAATATTACATAAACCTTAAAAATTATTATTATTTTTAATACAAAATTACATGTTATAATACTACATAATTAGGTCAAGCAACAAATATGTAAAAAATTATAAGCTTTAAGTAAGATGTTGATACAGATAGAATTTTAGAAAAAACAAGGCACAGTCTGGATGAAATTTTAGAAACACATGTGCACATGCTGAGAAATCAATACCTCAAACAACTTACTGTTGTTTTCCTTTTTTAGCACTTCCTATATAGCTATAGGTAGTCATAATTAAATAGGAGTCATATTTACTTAAACAGATTAATAACTTAATGGTGTTACATAATGCATCTGTTAGTAGTTCGTGTCTAATAAATTCTTGCAAACACAGTTTAATAAGCGGGTCATTCGGCAAGCAACATTTTTTGAATGAATGAAGACTAATTTGGTGTGACATATTTTATTAAATCTATCTTACCCTAAGTCATGCATAAATTAGGATTTTATTTTAAAGATGAGACTTACTTTCAATCCACAAAGAGAAAGACCAATATGAATTTACAAATATAATTAGTAACACAGTATAATATTTATATCATAGATTAAAATACTTATATTTCTAAAAGTTGTCATATGATACAAGATAATTTTTTACTTTTGCTTTACTTTTTTTAATTACTCACAAAATTACCTCAATTTATAAATTTTAGATTTCATATATATATATTGATATGCAGCATAGCATGGAAAACGTTAAACATAATAAAATATAAAAGCATTCTAGAAAATGAGATGTGTTTTAATAAATGGATACTAAGGATACAATACCAAAATCACTTCTACAGGAATTCTGCAATATGATATAAAAAGATTGTTTGGTTTAAATACTGGTGATTAATTTATATTTGTGAGTGCATATTTTATTATTTTTAAAATTCTGACAATTGGTGAGCCACAGCCAGGATTATACAGTGGCAAACGGCAATAGAAGAAAATGTGAACGACAGCAGAAATAAGCAGGCCTATCTATATACGCACAACTGTAGTGTAATGAAAATAGTATAGAGATTAAAATTACACTATATAACCATGTTAACAGATTTTGATAAATGGGTAAAAAGAGGATCTCAATTAGGGTTAAAAGACAGTCAATTATGAGAGTTTGTTAAACAACAAGAACTGGAAAGTGAAGAATGGCAACAGAAGAGACAAATTGAGAGAAAGGAGAAACTAAAAATAGAAAGAATGAGAATGCAAATTGAGAAAGAAGAAAAAGAGAGAGAGGAGAGACTAGAAATAGAGAGAATAAGAGCACAAATTGAGATAACAAAACTCACTCAACCAAAGAAAGAAGGACCCAAGAATGACAATGGTGTCAGGACTAGCTGACCAAAGCTGCCCAAATTTGATGAGCATAAAGATGACATGGATACTTTCCTGGAGAGATATGAAAGATTCTCCCAAAGTCATAACTGGGGCAAAGGCGACTGGGCAATTTGTCTCAGCTCACTTCTCACAGGAAAAGGCCTGATGTCAGAAGATGCCATGGAATATGACAAACTAAAATCAGCTTTATCAAAACGATATGAACTTACTGAAGCAGGTTTCCGTCAGAAGTTCAGAGGAATCATACCTGACACTGGAGAAACTGTATTTCAGTTTGTGACATGTCTGTAGCGATATTTCACCAAATGGACTGAAATGGCCATGTGTGAAATTACTTTTGAGGGACTGGCAGACCTATTACTATGTGAACAGTTCATGACCACGTGTTCAACTGACATGTCACTGTTTTTAAAGGAGAGAGCACCAAAAGATGTAGACAAAATGATCAAGCTGGCAGAACAGTATATGGAAGCCCATGGAGGTAGTATAACTGGCAAGTCC